CTTTAGGGAAAATTGTCAATTGATTCCGTTACCAGTGATGAAATACCAGCTTTAAGCTGAAGCTTACATTATAAAAATCTTGTCCTTATGACTGTTAGCTTGACAGTTTTCTCATTCTTAAAGATTTCTGATAAATTATTGGTAATATTAATGAATGAAAATTTCTGACTTCACAAAATTAAGTGACTCAATATTAGGAATACCTAAATCAATCAATCAATCAATCAATCAATATTTTATATTAAGAATATGAGAAATAATCTGCATCAAGAATACAAGTATATCATTACTGAAAATTTTTTATAATGAGCTAAAGATGTAATTCACTGCAATAGTACATTCCTTGTATGTGTGTGGTTTGTATTGAATTTCAGCATCAAAAAAGTAAAAATCATGTGTGTAAAAAATACATTCAAAATATAAAACTTATTAATGGGATTAATTTAACAGACAATTTAAATTTCATTCAGAGGTGCCATCTTACAAAAAAAAAACCCTATTATTTGTAAAGATTTGCTACAATAACATAAACTAATATATACTCTGTCTTAGAATTACAAAGTTGTAAGGCTCAATCTTCTTGCCAAATGTCAAAGAAGAGAAAGCACTGTAACAAACTGAATACAGAAGAAGATATGAATATGCATGTCTTCCGTTAAATTTGTAGAACCATATATTTAAAATAAATGATGAGGCTGGAGAGATAGTATATGGAGTAAGGCACTTTCCTTGCATGCAGCTGACCCTGGTTCAACTTCCTGTAGTATATATGGTCCCTCAAGCACAGTCAGGAGTGATTCACAGAACCAGAAGTAAGCCCTGAGCACTGCAATGTATAGCCCAGGAACCAAAAATAAAATGTAGAAACTGTAATTGTTTATGTTTTTGTGGAACTAAGACTGTAAGATAATATTCAGTAATAACCATACTTAGGAATGACATATTTCTCTAGTTTAGACTGATCATCAATCACTTGACATCCCATTACTCATTGATTTGCTCAAGCGAGTGCCAGTAACGTCTCCATTCGTCTCTGTCATGTGCTGGTGTAGTCCAATGGCATCTGCTCGCTCCAGGAACACTAAGAGCCTCAAACCGATCCTTCAGGGTCTTGACAAAGAAGTCTGACCATGTCCTAGGTGGGCGGCCATGCAATATTTTGACATCCCGTGGAATCCAGTAGGTAACGGCTCTAGTCCAGCCAGTGGTCGTCTCCAAATCGCATTACGTGTCCAGCCCATCTGATTTTTGAGTCCTTGGCAAATGAGGCAGTGTCCCTGGTCCTTGATCGTCGACGGAGGTCGGAACTCCGGATGCTTTCTCTCTCTGACTGGAGTGAAGCGTGATGCTCCAAGCATAGCTCTTTGGATTCCTCTTTGGGAGACCCGGCGAGCGTTCTCATCCTCTTTCCGTAGGGCCCAGGTCTCTGAGGCGTATGTTAGTGCAGGAGGAACAGTAGAATCGAAGAGAAACAGATGTAGAGGTAGAAAGAAAATAGTAGAGACAAATCAAAATGGCATATTTATCCATTATATTTCTATGAAATTAATTAGTGACAGAAGATATAAAGGTATCTGTACTTCATTGGAATATTGAAAGGAAAAAATTGTGGAAGATAAGATTAAATTTCCTAAAAGGAAGTGTCATTCAGTCTGGAAAAAATTACTTAATTTTTTTTACTATTTAGATATCGTAACCTATGAAAACCTTGTATACCATAATTTTATTTTATTTTCACCTGATAAGGCAAAATAAGGTAAGCAACTCTTAGATTTCTCCACATGTGTCATTCTCTCGATACTACCTTATTTCTATTTAGGATCCAGATTTTCCTTCTGTAAATTAGAAATGTGTTTCATTTCCTGTTTTTTCATTGACTACTAATCATTTTTTCCTTATTCAATTACTCCCCCCAGATTGACATTCTGCATCTTTTATTGAACAGTTAACCATTATAACCATTTTCTGAATATTCAGTGTTGGGGTTTAAAATTCTCTTTTGGGGCCTTGAATGATCAATAATTTCTTCAAAATATTTTTCTGTGCTTATGGACTCAATTATGGTACTTTTCACTCAATATTTTATTACTTGGTACAAAGCCCGTGAAAAAATGTATAAATATACTTCAGTCACCTAAGTATAGAATTCACTTTGGGTTTAATTGTGAAATGTCCTTCTTGCTAATGCTTTCTGTGGTACTACCTCTGTTCCCTGAACATATTAGTTTAACTGTAGTTGAATAGTTTTGCTATTTTGGGGGTGTTTCTATACTCTTGTGCTTTGCAGTATTATTTAGTATTTAAAGAACCTCCCAGATGGGTGCCCTCTTCAATTTATTTGTCACCCAGCTAGTCTTCCTTCAACATCACTAATGAAGATGTCAAATAATACCAGTCATAATACCTATATCCCTCAAGCACGTACCTCAGTCCTTCTTAACTTGATGCATTGCCATTTATCATTAAATTCCGTTAGCTAATTTAAGTCCCAGGAAGAATGGTAATATTGAATCTGATTTGAGGTAAATTTTAATTAAGATTTCCTCAGACATTGTGTTAAGTGATTTACTATAATCAAAATTGATATCTACCATATCTCCCCCTTCTCTAAGTTTATAATTTTATCCACATACAAAAGAAAGAAAATGAGTTCGTCTGGCTTGAACAGTTTCCCATAAATATACATCATTCATTTGAACTCTTCCTGCAAATAGTTTCTTTCTGCTTTGCCTTTAGGATTATATCTGCCATTCTCAGAATCATTTCATGAATTGCCTTTGCTTCTGGCTACCACATCTGCCTACCCACAAATAGCCAAAATTAGACTGATTTGAATTAATGCCTGTCTCACAGTTCCTTTTTAACTTACAATTTTTTGTTGCTCTAATTTTGTCTCACATCATTCTAATAATAACAACATATAATAAAATAGAGTAAAAATAATAAAAAAGAAATGAAGTGTAGAAAATTTAACCCATTAAGGGAAAGTTTTTCTGTTTACATTTTGTAATTGCAGCAAATAGGAACCTTTAAATGTGATGCTAATTAAGACAGCATTTCATAAGTCGAATTTAAATTTCAAGGTGAATGTGCATAGTCATTCAGATTTTATCTAAACCACAGAAGTGTCCAGTGGCCAGCTAAGGGAGGCTGTAATATACAAAGAAAAACTTTACAAAAGTAAAGCAGAAAGAACAAATTTACAAAAGTAAAGCTCTAATAAAAACCAAGTTTACAAAAGTAGCTCAGTTACATAAGAACATATCAATGACTAAAATAGCTTCTGTCAATTTATTACAGTCACTTTTTTTCTTCAACATGAACCTTTTTTGTATCGTTTTTTGTTTTGGTGTAAAATGAAACTACATTTTTCTCCACCGATTATTTCTAGAATGATGAAAACAGAGAAATGTGTAAGATTTCCCACTAGAATGTCTGAAGAGAGCACAACAGGTAGAGCTTTTATCTTGCAGCCACCGAGCCATTGTTGATTCCCAGCTGTATGCTGAGATCAATCCCCAAAAACAGAACCAGGAATAAGCAAGGCATCACCCCCAAACCAAACCAGACAACAAAAATATTTTCTTCTAGAATGTATTATTTTCGTTCCCCCAATAAAAAATATATATTTTTGAGAGTCAAGAAGTCTTACATTATGAAGCCATTCATTATATTTTATGAAATTAATGGTATTAGTGTAGTATTATTTCGAGAAGTCACTTAACTCCAAAAAAAATGTATCAGGCTTGTATTATAAGTATCTAATTAGGTTATCCAAAACCAGAGTATATATGCCTGAGTTTGAAAAGATAATGTTTGTTCTCATCAGTTTTTCTAATTAATTTATTTATTTATTGAATCACTGTGGGAAAAGTTACAAAGCTTTCAGGTTTAGGTCTCGGTCATGCAAATATCAATCACATTTCCCTTTACCAATGCTTATTTTTCACCACGAAGAACCCCAATAAACCCCCACCCCCACCCACCCCCCAATGCCTGTGGGGCAGATGAATTCTAGTTAACACTCTATCTACTTTGACTGGCTTCATTGTTTCGATAAAAGTTGCACCATTATTATTTAGACTTTACCCCCCCCACCCCAAATCAGCCATGCTGAGAAAGCATTGTGAAATGATTTGTTTTCTACAGCTGGGTTCAAGAATTAAATGATGTCGCGCGGCTGCAATAGCGACCGCGCGGTTTTGGATTTCTGCTATTTTACTAATTAACCCTGGAAGTATTTCTACTGAGAGTCAGATAATTAAGAGATTGGTTTCTGTGCTCTGGAGTCATGGCCGTGCCAGAGAGCCGCTCGTGGGGGACAACTGGTGACCTCGGTAGGGCGTGAAGGACAGGCCGGAACGACCCCCCCCCCCCACCCGTCCCATGAGATTTCAGTCGCGCCCCACCCCAGGCTCATACCTGCTCTCCACAAGGCTCCCATGCGGCCGCCTTGTTCTCATCAGTTTTTATAGGTTTATGTGAACAAGATTATGGGGATCCTTCCTAAGGTAACTGTAAACTAAAAGTACATGAGAAAGAGTCTCTAGGAAACAGAAATTTAAAAATTACATGTGTGAGGAAGGGGTAAGTGAAAAAAGAAAAGAATGATGAAGGCAATTCTAAATTTTTCACTTCTCCCAGTTAACAGAGAGTATTATGTGTAAACATCTCAAGAACAGGAGGTAAGATAGAAGGGAAAAGATCTAATTTCTTACAGGGTTATAATAGTATGGTCAGTGTTTTTCTATCTTTTTCTTTATTAAATTAAAATATAGTCTTCACAATCCAAAAAATAAAGATTTACTCTCAGAAGAAAACACTGCATTTTCTTTTTACTATGATTACTTCAGTATCATAATAGAAATTAGTAGCCTCCATTTACAGAAAGAAGGGGACTTTGCATACCTACTTTGCTGAAATTAAGCACCTTTTGTTGGTAGGAGATTATACAATGGGGTAGTCCCATGAAGATTTATGCTGTTATTTTTCTGTTCTAGCTCACTGCAGTCGACGCAGATGAAGGGTCAAATGGGGAGATCACATATGAAATCCTAGTTGGGGCTCAGGGAGACTTCATCATCAATAAAACAACAGGACTTATCACCATCGCCCCAGGAGTGGAATTGGTAGTCGGTCAGACTTATGCACTCACTGTCCAAGCAGCAGATAATGCTCCTCCTGCGGAGAGAAGGTAATTTATGTGAGAATCAAATAATCCTTTTTATTGTTCCTGTTTAACCCCATAATTAAATTTATGAAGCATAGCGGGCATTCTTTTGCTCTATAAACATCTCAATTAGATCAGAAAAACAAGAGAATCTCGGGAAAATGCATACTATAATTGGTTAAATTTTGGAGAAAGCACAATAGGACAAGATTAAATAAACAGGAAATTACAATAATTTTTCAGATACAAATGGTAGTCATCACTGGTTTAGAGGGAGTGGAGAATAAGAAATACCAGCCACGAGTCTACAATAGATTACTGCAAAGCAAGATGATAGAGTAGGAGGTCATTGGTGCAATAGTAGTATATAATATTTCAGGTTTTTCCAGACAACTCTCAATATCTGGATTGGTATTCAAATATATACTAATTCTATACATGAATTGAATATTTAAATATATTTAATGCATATCTATTTTCTATCTATTATCAATCTACCCTTAATATCCACAAGCCCCATGTTGTAAAACTTTAGCACATATCATACAATGGCACAGTGTTTGCATATAACCCACATATATCTACTTTAACCTCTATCTAATGTATATCACTTAATATTTGTAAATTATGCATAAAATGTTATATTCTTTAGAAAACAAAGACAGAGAAAAATTATATTTATTTTATATTAAATGCACCTATAGATTGGTTACATAGCTTTAAAAAAACTTTTGTTTCTTGAATTCCCAAATGGAGTACTCAAGGATAGAGGGGCCGACTCTATTCCACAGCTGTAAAATATGTCATCTGTATGTGAGAAAACAATGAGAGTGAGTAAAAAGTAGAAACGTTTACAATTATTTCAAATGCACTAATCTAGTAAAGTAATTTAAATTTCCTTTATTTGTTTCTAAGAATCATTATTCAAACAATGTAGCACTGTAACACTGTTCTCCCGTTGTTCATCATCTCCATCGTGAGACTTGCTGTTACTGTGATTGGCATATCGAATATGTCACGGGGAGCTTGCCAGGTTTTGCTGTGCAGGTGGGATGCTCTCGGTAGCTTGCCAGGCTCTCCTCTCAGGGCAGAGGAATTGAACCTGGGTCGGCCGCATGTAAGGCAAATGCTCTACCCGCTGTGCTATCGCTCCAGCCCATTAAAACAATATCCATCAATATTATTATATTCCTCATAATTTGCTCTTTCTTTTTCTCACCTCATGGTAAATAGAAGTTCTTCCCATAAGTAAAAATAATAGTAATCCCAATTAAATTATCTTACTCCTATCTTAAAATCACAAGTATGAACTAACAACTTCTACCTCTTTTATTATAGACATTCCCAGCCACTGATTTCTCTGGTCTAGTCTAGGGTGTTCAGAGACTCTTTCATTACGCTTTAGCTATTACCCTTGTTAGTCATCTCCCCTTCCTGGCCTCGCCCACCCCAGAATAACCTTAGGGAATCTGGTGACAGAAAACATCTCTTCCTTTTACCCGTGCTTTTCACCGAAACTATGTGTTCTCATTTATTTGACAACTCTCTACATTTAACATTTTGACTTCTGCATAGCTACACTTATTTCTGAAGATCTACAATCTGAGGGAGAAATGAGACAAGCTGACTTGACGCAATCCTTACGAGCCCCTGCCCCTTTCACCCCATAAATAGGGGTAGGGTCATAATTCTCACTTGGGACTGTTGGGTTTTCATTTTTTCCTCTACTTTTTTCCAGAAGCATCATTTTGTTGTAGTTATTATTCTGGAGAGAACATACTGTGATTGCTTAATATTCGATGCTAGTAATGCTAAGATAAGAAGGAAGTACAGTTTGTTTTTGTTACTTAAATATTAAAAACTTCCTAGTCACCATTTTTTCCGTTGAAGCTGTGCAAAATAGATCTTGTGTATTATAGCTGTCCATATGCCACTTACATACTTTTAAATCACTGTCTTGATAAATGAAAATTTTAATCAGTTTTTAGTTTCTCTTGGAAATCATTTCCACTGAAAACCTAGATTTACTTGAAGAGAAATGTGTACCAATCCAGGAGGCAGTGCAAGCTTCAGAATCTGAATAAAATGGTGTTTTTAGTGACACCAAGCATTTAATTGGCCTAGCCCTTTATTTTCAGTATAGATAGTGGTTTGGGCAATAAAATCATCTTATAATATTTGGTCAAACAACAGGCAGGACTTGCAGAGAGTAAAATCAGTATATCCCCATACTACCTGCAGAGATAATGTCATGTTCCCCATAGGACAGTGATATTTGCTATTTTCTTGAGTAAAATTAATCCTTTGAATTTAATTTATGGATGAACTTTAGAGTTATGAGAATTTCATTTTAATATTTCCTTTGTTTAAAGATTTAATTTGAAAATTACTAATAAAAATTATAGATTAGGTTGTGTTTGTAGACTGACCTAATCAGAAGTAGGTGCATATAAATTTTATTATATCACATAAATATATGGCAATTTTCTATCATAATTCCAGATTGGTAATTTTGATTCATATATTGATTCTTAAGATAAGGTTTATAAGAATGAACCATTCATGCAATTAATATTACTTTGAGTAAACCATACCAATTTAAAATGAAGGAAAATGACTGCGAAATCTTCCTATTTTCATTCTTTGATGACTATAGCCAAATTATGGAAAGTAGTATGGTGTTTGTAAATATTGTTTTTCCTATTTATATACATATGTTCTCCCTTCCGAAATCCAACATGCCATCTCGTCAGTAAAGAAACAAAAAGCACCTGGCCCAGACAAGATCAGACCTGAACACCTGAAGAACTTACCATCAGTACTCATCAATACATTAGCTCGACTCTTCACACGCTACCTGTCTGAATGCAAGGTTCCATCCCAATGGAAAACCAGCAAGACTGTACTACTATACAAGAAAGGAGACATCCACGACATTGGCAACTATCGCCCAATCTGCCTATTGTCTGTCATCTACAAACTATTCACTCGAGTCATCCTGAATAGGATTAGCAGAACACTAGATGAAGGACAACCATGTGAACAAGCTGGATTCCGAAAAGGATTCAGTACCATCGACCATATCCACACAATAACCAAGCTCATTGAGGTATCTCGGGAGTTCAAGATGCCGCTCTGTCTAACGTTCATTGATTTAAAGAAGGCCTTTGATTCTGTTGAGACGGAAGCGGTCATGGAAGCCCTAGCCAATCAGGTCGTACAAACTCAATACATCAGGATCCTTCGTGAGCTCTATTGCGGATTCACTACCAAGATCTCACCATTCTACAAAGAAGTAATCATCCATATCAAGAGAGGGGTTCGGCAGGGTGATACCATTTCACCAAAACTCTTCAGTGCCACCCTCGAGAACATCATGCGACGACTAGAATGGGAAAACATGGGAGTGAAGATAGATGGTCGGCAACTACACCACCTCCGCTTTGCTGATGACATCGTTCTAATAACACCAAACATCAGCCAAGCGGCACAAATGCTTGCGGACTTTGACCGTGAGTGTGGAAAGGTTGGACTACAGCTGAATCTTACGAAGACAATGTTTATGAGAAACAGCCTTGTTCCTGACGCTCCATTCGCTCTCAACGGAACCACCATCTCCGAATGCAACAGTTATATATACTTAGGTCGAGAAATCAACATGATGAATGACCTGGCACCTGAGTTACGCAGGAGGAAGAGAGCGGCTTGGAATGCCTTCAAGAGCATTGAAGAAATAACTAAAAGGACAAAGAACCTCCAACTACGAGCACATCTCTTTGATTCCACTATTCTTCCTGCATTAACATATGCCTCAGAGACCTGGACCCTACGAAAACAGGATGAGAACACTATTCGGGTCTCTCAAAGAGGAATCGAAAGAACTATGCTTGGAATATCACGATTCACTCAAATGAGAGATAGAATCCGGAGTTCTGATCTTCGTCAACGCTCAAGAATCAGAGACGCTGTCTCATTTGCCAAGACATCAAAAATCAGATGGGCTGGACATGTAATGAGGTTTACAGACAACCGCTGGACTAGAGCCATTACTGATTGGATTCCACGAGACATCAAAAGATCACGTGGACGCCCACCTATAAGATGGTCAGACTTCTTCGTCAAGACCCTAAATGATCGGTTTGAGGCTCTACATGTTCCTAAAACGAACAGATACCATTGGGCTACGCTAGCACGCAACCGGGATGAATGGAGACGTTACTGGCACCCGCTCGAATAAATCGATGAATAACGGGGATTAAGTGATTAAGTGATACATAGCCTTACTTTTATCTTTTAAATAAATGATATATATGTGTATATTTACAAAATGCTAATATGAAAAAGTACTACTCTTAGACATTTAGAAGATATAGGTAATAAAGGATACTATTTGCCCCCAAAGATTATGATTAAATGATTATTACATGACATCACATATATAATTTTTTAAGAATATAAGATTTTACCTAATTATAGCAGAATCAAGTAATCTCAAAACTACTCTCATGGTGACTATTATGTTTTAACATATTTAAATATGTTTAGGATTGATTAAAAATGTAAGGGATTTTCATTTTGACAAAAATATACCAATTTTCTACTGCCAATTTCTAAAATCTTGGGAATTCACTGGAAAAGTAAAAGTAAAGGTAAAGGCCCTCCCGTTGTTCGTCAATTTGCTCAAGCGGGTCCAGTAACGTCTCAATTGGAGTCTTTGTCTTACTGTGTTTGGCATATCAAATACGTCACGGGGAGCTTGCCAGGCTCTGCCATGCGGGCGAGATACTCTCGGTAGCTTGCCGACCGGTAGCTTGCCGGGCTCTCTGAGAGGGGCGGAGGAATCGAACTCGGGTCGGCCATGTTGGCTGTGTACAAGGCAAATGCCCTACCGCTGTGCTATTGCTCCAGTCAGTGGCAGTATGTAGCCAATGAGGTTTATCCGAGAAAAGTAAGACAAATTTTTAACTTTATTGCATTTATATAAATGCACAGGTAAATCAGCATATGCATTGATAGATAATTATATGTTGATGTTGACTTTGACAAAAAATAATACTAAAGTAAAGGAAATAACAAAAGTGAACACAGTAATATGATATGCCATATTTATTTATTGGCAGTTGTAGGCTTATGATTAATCTGCATTCTATCAACATAACTCCATACTTACAATAAAGTTTGAATCAGTATGAGAATAATGATCTAGATAGAGCTCATTTATCTTTCCAGTCTCAATTCTGCCATTCTCTAAATATACTCTTCCATTACAACATTTTTATAGTTCTTGTTTATTACTATTTTTATTCTGCATGTTTCTGTAATGTCTTTATGGTTTCTACACCTAAGTATAATTTCTTTTGTCTTAAAACTCTATTCCTATAACCCATCCAGAGAAGTGTTTTCAATTCTATATTTGAATTATTATAGAAAGAAATGTAGAAAGCATAAGAGTAAGGGAGATAAGGCAGTCACACTGAACCAGTTGTGCACTGTGTTTTTCTTTGGGATTTAGCGTACTCTTCATTTTTTCTTTTAAAATGTTTTCTGTGGTAAGTAAACAGATTCCATCATTATTAGAGGATGATACTGCAGGTTTGTAGATGAACGTAAACAAATTCACTAAACCGAGAAAGTAATCAAAGAGCAAAAAATTAGGAAGTCAAGTCCATAAAATAAGTTTTGTGTAGATTATGAATTTATGTGTGGAAAAAGAATCAATTCCAAAAATAGTGTATGAAATGTTTTAGAGTAGTACACAAAAGTTCTTATGAATACACGGAGCAGGAAAATGCGAATAAGGAAGGAAAACAGGCGTGGATTTGGAATATGGGTATGTTCTAGGAAACGAAAGATTTTAATCAGTTCTAGGAGATAGTATAGCAGTTAGTCTGACCCAGGTCTAATCCTTGTCACCATATGGTCCTCCAAGCCTCTCTGCATGCAACCGTGGGAACCCCAGACACTGCCAGCCATGCCACTGAAGGCATCAGGGTATTCCTTGGCGTTTGAAGGTCCCAAGAGCTTCAGTGCATCCCCCAGGCCCTGGCTTAGAACAACAGGCCAAATTGGTTGAGAACCGCTAGTGGGCCCTCAGACTTCTGAGAAATGCTTGGGAACTCACAAATACACACACCAAAATTGTTATTTAGTGAGAGCATTTTTTGCATTCATGATTGCTACAGGGAAGACTATGTTAATTTTTTAAGAAATTTCCAAATTTCCTGGACTAGTAATTTTAGAAATATGTAATATATACAAACATTAAATTATAAGCCTTTATACCTAAAATCTATGCAATAAGTTCTATACAATTTCAACATTAAAAATCTCTTTGTTTGACACAAACATATGCTTACAGTAAAAATTTATATATTCTTTAATATTCATATGTGAAGAATATATTACATCATGTTCCCTGAACATTTTTAGTAATCATGTCTTTTACTTAAAGAACTTTAATAAAAGAATTGAGTGTCTTTAAGAAAATTCTAGTCCTATGTGAATAATTATATATTCATATGCATTGAATAAATAAGCATGAATTTGTGAAAAATCATTTTGAAAATCATTTGAAGTGTGAAATGCAGGCATTGCCATGTGTTTTTATGAAAGGAAGAATATATTTCAACAGAATACTAACTGTATATACCTATTTCTCATTAATAAATTTTAATAACCTATGCTTTTATATGGGCTAGAGCAATAGCACAACGGTAGGGCGTTTGCCTTGCATGCAGCCAATATGGCCAACCCGAGTTCATTCCTCCACCCCTCTCCGAGAGCCCGGCAAACTACGGAGAGTATCTAGCCCGGACGGCAGAGCCTGGCAAGCTCCCCGTGACGTATTCAATATGCCAAACACAGTAACAACAAGTCTCACGATGGAGACGTTACTGGGCCCACTCGAGCAAATCAATGAACAACGGGAGGACCGTGACCGTGACAGTGATGTTTTTATATAAACCCATACATATAGCTTGCTCCTGCAGCTTTTGTTATGGAAAAATATAGTCTATAGAAACTAAAAATCATTATTTCATGATAATATTTTTTCTCTAATATTAGGGCACATTATAGTGTTAAGAAAGTTCCCTATCCATGTAAGGTTTAATTAAACACACACACACTCACATACACTTTGTCGAAGGAATTGCGGGGACTATACTCAGCAATGCTCAGAGGCTTCTCACTCTGTTCAGAGGTCACTCCTGCTTAGGTGACCATGTGGTACCACGATTGGATTGGTATTGGTCACTTGCAAGCTGCCTTAACCCCTACACTGACTCCCTAACTTCAAATAATCTGTAACTGAATATATAACTCCTTACTCAAAAAGAAATTTGGTTTGGGCCACACCTAGCAGTGCTCAGCAGACCTTTCAGTACCGTAGATTGACCTGGGTTTGGTCACATGCAGAGCAAGCACATTCATTCTTGTTCAGTCTCTGTTTGATATCTTTAAAGAGTACTTAAAAATTTAATTTTTGAAAAATATTTTTCACGATAATTACTTTGTTATTTTGACTCTTGATGTACTTTTGCATTGTTATTGATATGCGTCTAAACTAATGCAGCTCATATTGTGTTATGTGTATGTGTATGTGTGTGTATGATATTTCATTCAATATTACCTCTGTTGGATTAGTAGGAATAGAACCCCAAGGAAAACTTGTATTACTGGATATTTTCAGAATGCTATTTTCTATGAGAGAGACATTAAAAAATAAAGCCAGAAGTCAAAGAAAGTTAATTTATTAACTTTGTTCGTACATTTATTTCCTTTTCATTTACAATGTTAATCTAAAGAAGAAAAAATCACTGCCTGAGGCATTTCTTCCACTGAGATAATTTTATAAAAATATTTTAGTGGAAACTTTTATTTTTCAATACCTTTCTTTCTGAATTATTTTGTTGCTGTCTGTAAAAATGAAAACTTTTTCTCCTGCAAACTTAACAACTAAATACAGAACACAGTCATTAAATGTGATTTAATTAGCACCAATTTTACCCATCTTGTTTGCTTTCTTTCTCTGCAGGCATTCCATCTGTACTGTGTACATTGAAGTGCTTCCTCCAAATAACCAAAGCCCTCCCCGCTTCCCGCAGCTGATGTATAGCCTTGAGATTAGTGAAGCCATGAGAATTGGTGCTGTCTTATTAAATCTACAGGTATGTTTCTTAATGTGTGCATATATATGTCTGTGTCTATATATCTGTGTGTGTGTATATACATATACATATACATATAAGTTTAACTTGCAAATTAGATACTAATAAGGCCATCTGAAAAAGAAAGGAGGGGTAAAATGTTTGTTGAATTTCTACAGCTATTCTTTCAATTATCATTATTCAATAATGTTAGCTAGCAGGAGTTGGCTATTTTCATTACAGAAGCTAATATAGAAATTGAAATCATGCACTTGAATATTCTGTACTTTGCACTTAGAAAGTTTGTAGCTGCCTATTGTTTTCTACCTTACATTCTTTGGTCCCAATAAGGATTGATTTTTACTACAGCATTATAGAGAGAAAACAGAGTTAAGGTGGCGGGTTTAGCTGATATTTTCTTGCATGACTCCAAGTTCAAGCATGAGCTATGTTACTTGTGAAATGGTAGTTTGGTTTCCACTGTATATATTGCTGTGTACAGAATATTTGGTCAGAGAAAATATCATCTTCAACTGGTTATACAACTTCAAATTGGACTACATGTGTCGCTAATACTTGTCAGTTTCTACAATAAATGTTAGGACTATAATATGACATATTGTTTTAATCTATGAATTTCTACAGGGCAAATATTTCATCTTTTTTATGGTGTTCTGTGGTAATGATAGATTTGCTCACATGTGAGAAAATTAGAATTTGTTTTTGTTAGGCATCCCCTAACAGGAATATGATGTCAAATGTTAGGAGAGATTTTCTTATGAAGATCCAGGAAAATACCACCTGAGAACTTCAGCATTAAAATGAGATGACACAAAGCATACCATTTACCCTCAGTCTTACTCTAATTCTATTTGAATAATGACTGCTTCTCACTAAAATCCTGAATATATAAATGTAAAGTTTCCATAATGTGTTTTAACTGAAAATGAAAAACAAACAACAAAAAAACATTTTTTGACGCAAAAGTGAATCTCATAGAAATTCATTTGGGTCCAGGAGTCAGATAGATAGTAAATTAAATACCGTGCTTGTTTAATACACAATCATTAAAGATTCAAATCCCAGCAGCCTATGTGGGCCTCCAGTACCACCAGGAGTGATTCTTCAGCCCAAAGTTAGGAGTGAGCCTTGAGCGATATTTGGCATTACCCCCTCCCCATAATTAATTGGAATTTGAATTAAGTTAATTGAGTTCTCATAATTTCAAAAGGAAGGCTTTTCCATCCTATCTCACTTAATACCTGCAGCTTCCAAAAATTTTGTTTGGCATTAAAAATACTCCTCTCCTCTGAACTTCAGTTCTAGTATATAATGAAGGATGTCGGGAGTTGGAGTGAGGATCTACACCCAGCTGTGCTCAAGATTTACTCCAGTTCTGTGCTCAAGGGTATTAGATGCTAGTGATTGAATCAGGGTTAGCTACATGCAAAGCAAACACTTTAATCCTTTTTTGTTTGTTTTCTTTTTGCTTTGCCTGGTGATGTTCAAGGGTTTACTCCTGATTCCACACTCAGGAATCACTCTTGGTGATGCTTGGGGGACCATATGGGTGCTGAGGATAAAACCCAGGTCAGTTATGTGGGAGGCAAGCACCTTACCTGCTGAACAATCACTCTGGCACTACACCTTAATCCCTATACTACATCTTCAGACCTCTAGTATGTATTTTGTTCATTTTACCAGTTAAATAAAGGGAATCTGTTTTTGTTAGGCACTCCCTGTTAATACAGATGCAAAATACTTATATGAAATTAGGCATGTTAGCTATCAGGAAACTGAAAAACTTCAGTAGACAGAATACTTAAAAATATTTAAAAAATCAGAGACCTGAGTTAAAGTAAAACAAGGTGCTTGCTTTGCATGAATCTGAACCAGGTTTGATTTCCAGCACCTCAAATGCCTATCCCAATCCCTGTCAGGAGTGATTCCTGATGGCAGAGCGAAGAGGAAGCTTGGGGCACTAATGGGTGTGGCCCAAAAATTAAAAAATTTATTTTTTGGAGTTGGCCACCACAAGCGGCCCTCCGGCATGGCCATGGCTCCAGAGGCAAAAGCACTTAATCCAGAACCCGGCAGCTTGTGGCAGAAAAACGAATGGATTATGTGTTAAACTACAGTGCCATACCTCCCCAGAAGGGAAAGGGTGGTCTTCCCTTCCGCATCCCCCCCCCCCCCACCCTGACAGCAAGGTAGCTGCTGCCTCAGAGCTTATTGGAAAGCCAGGTATGAGCCAGTGGTGATGGGGCAACTGCAGTCTCATGGGAAGGGGTGCGGTACTGGCTCATCCTTCACACCCTACCGAGGTCACAAGTTGCCCCACAAGAGCGGCTCTCCAGCACAGCCTTAACGCCAGACTAACAAAAACCAATCCCATAATTATCTGGCTCTTGGATAAAATTCCTCCAGACTTAATTAGTAAAATATCAGAAATCTGTGCAACATCATATGGTTTTTATAACCAGCAATCGAAAACAAATAATTTCACAATGCCTTTTCAGTAGATCTGATTGTTGGGGGGAAATTCTAAACAATAATGGTGCATCTTTTGTCGAATAAGAATGTGATCAAAGTAGAAAGAGAGTTAAGTAGAAATCATCTGCCTCACAGGCATTGGGAGGGTTGGAAGGGGGGTATATTGGGCTTCTTGGTGGTGAAAAATAAGTACTGGTGAAGGGAAAGGTGTTTGATCATTGTATGACCAAGACTTAATCTTGAAAGCTTTCTAACTTTTCCCACAGTGATTCGATAAATAAATACAACAAACAATTAGTTTTTTTCTACAAAGAAAAATGAAGAGCCAGTCACTAGATGGCAAATATGGAAAACAAATATAAACAGTTGCATTTAATGAAATCAGTTAAATATTGTAATATGCATTTATGTATCTAAATACATTTTAGATACCAAGATTCATGCTAATAAATCATTTATGTTTTCATTAAAATATCTATTTATTTATATTTGTGAAATACTGTGAGGTACAGTTGTAGATTTACAAACGTTCATGCTTGGGTTTCAGTTATACAATGATCGAATACCCACCCTGTTACCAGCCCATTCTCCACCATCAATGAACCCAGTAGCCCTCCCACCCCCACACCCCATCCCTCACACCCCACCTCACCAATGTGGCAGGGCATTCCGTTTTGCTCTCTGTTTCCTTGAAGGTGTTGTGGTATTGAATGGCCATCATTTTCACTCCATAGTTTACTTTGAGCACGTATCTCATTCATTTCATTTTTTCATCATCCTGTTATTCGTCAATTGCCTCGAACAGGCCCCAGTAACGTCTCTTTCATCTTAGCCCTGAGATTATATTCAAGGCTCTGTAGGAGAATGAGACCCATCATTGTTACTGGTATTTGGCATATTTGGTACACCATGGGGAGTTTGCCAGACTCTGCCCTGTGGGCAGGCTACATTCGATAGCCTGCAAGTTTGTCCAAAGTAGGAATGAGATAATAAGATGTCATAAAAAGATGTCCTGATAAAATGTCGCGCGGCCGCGAATGCGGCCACGCGGTTCCGGGAGCTGGATTTTATAGTCTCCGAGTCTTGGCCGCTGATGGCATTACACGGCGCCAGGGGGCCAGGTGGTGGGTGTGACCCCCGCCTACTGGAATTTGGAGGATCTGGGTGGAGGATGCTCGACTCCAATCCGAGTTGGCTTGGAGATCTCGGTCCCGGAACCCGCATGGCTTTGTCCCTCTGCCAGTACCTTCATGTGTGCGGAGAGTGGTCTCAGCATGGTGGTGGCTGGTCCTGGAGGTCTTTGGCTACTGGAGCCCTGGTTGGGGCAGGGAGGAAAGCTCAACCCGCTCCCCTCCAAGAGGCCCCAGCGAGGAACAGCCAGGCACGGGGGCAGGAGACTGCACTGTTCTCGTCATATCCTGAGTTAATCCTCCAAACACCCTTTATTTGGTGTTCCCTTCTCTATCTGAGCTGTGTGTTCCCCCAGCATGTGCTGCCGGCTCCAAGTTGTGGAGCAGATCTCCTGGTACTTATCTCAAGTGTTCTTGGGTGTTAGTCTCCCATTCTGTTACATTGTATTCCCCAGATGAATGCAGTCTTTCTATGTTTGTCTCCTTCTTTCTGACTCATTTCATGTAGCATGATACTTTCCAAGTAGAACCACTTGTATGCAAATTTCATGACTTCATCTTTTCTAACAACTGCATAGTATTCCATTGTGTAGATGTACCAAAGTTTCTTTAACCATTTATCTGTTCTCAGGCACTCGAGTTTTTTTTTCCAAATTTTGGCTATTTTGAACAATTCAGTAAAGAACATAGAAGTGCATATGTCACTTTGACTATATATTTTTTGCCTCTCTGGGATATATTTCCAGGAGTGGTATTGCTGGGTCAAATGGGAGCTCAATTTCTATTTTTTTGAGAATTGTCCATACTGTTTTCCAAAAGGGCTGAACCAGTCGGCATTCCCACCAGCAGTGAAGGAGGGTCCCTTTCTCACCACATCCACACCAACACTGGTTACTTTTGTTTTTTTGATGTGGGCCAGTATTTGTGGTGTGAGACGATATCTCATTGTTGTTTTGACCTGAAACTCCCTGATAATTAGTGATGTAGAGCATTTTCTCATGTTCCTTTTAGCCATTCAGATTTATTCTTTGACAAAGTTTCTTTTTATTTCATCACCCCATTTTTTGATGGGGTTGGATGTTTTCTTCTTGTGGAGTTCAATCAGTAAGTTGTATATCCTTGATATCAACCCCTTATCTGATGGGTGTTGCGTGACTATCCTTTCCCATTCTGTAGATTGTCTTTGTATTTTGGTCACTGTATCTTTTGTGATGCAGAAGCTTCTTGGTTTAATATAGTCCCATTTGTTTATCTCTCTCCACTTGGTTGGTTAGTGTCATGTCATCTTTGAAGATACCATTAACCTCAATATCATGGAGAGTTTCGTCGACCTTGTCTTCAATGTACATTATGGACTCTGGTGTGATGTTGAGATCTTTAATCCATTTTGATCTGACT